TGCCAATCCAGCAAAATATGTGAAATTGATCAACACAAACAAGTTATGTCAATTCGGGAAGACTTTATAACAATTTAACAACATATGTACAATGAAAATAGTACCAAGTCTTACAATTTTTGAACGATTAAACAACATATGTAAGTTTGTCAATCCGGCAAGACATGCGAACAATTTAACAACATAAGTAGAATGAGGATTGAACAAATAATATCCTGCCCAACATAACTTGTGAAAGCGTAATTGCACCGAGAATAGTTTTGCACAAATAGCTTAAAATAGAAACAAAATTTAAGTAGAGGCTTTAAGTTATCCCCTTTGTGCATATCTCTCGATTCAGCCGGTCCATTTTGAGAGAAAGTGTTCTTTACTAAAAGTGTCTTCATTCTTAAGACTCAATCCGATGACCTTTAGTTAACGGTAAAAAAATTTTATGCAATCCTTTTTTCCAAAAATAACTTGTTCATACAAGTTGTAAAAAGATATATTATCATCTGATTCAACAATCCCCATGCCAATTCCACCTGCCCCAATCCCAACAAAGGAGAAATAATATTAGAACAAATGGTAATTGTTAAATAGAAGAAGGCACAAAAAACCTCGAGCTCAGACTTGAGCTCCCATGGTGGAACCTAGAAGCTTCGAGAGAGAGAAGAGTCTGAGAGGAGACAATTTAAAAATGAACTATGCAAATCTCATTAGTTCAATATATGAGTACATATATACACACGTGGGTCCTTCACTCAATATATGTAACAAACTAACTAATTGACAACTAAGCTAATAACAGTAAATGAACTAAGAACATATAAATACATAGCTCAATACCCCCTCCCCCCCTCAAGTTAGAGGTGAGGTCTTCACAACCAACTTGCTTAACACAGTGGAATGTTTGATGCCAGTGAGAGCCTTAGTGAGAATGTCTGCCAGTTGGTCATGTGTGCCAAAGTGATGTAAGGATATGAGACCTTCTTGAAGTTTATCCCTCACAAAGTAACAATCAATCTCAATGTGTTTAGTCTGCTCATAGAACACAAGGTTCCTAGAAATGTGTAAGGCTAATTGACTATCATAATACACAGTCACAGGTGCAGGAAAGGGAACAGTCAGCTCCTCAAACAATCTGCATAACCATGTCAACTCCCCAACCACCTTTCTAAGAGACCTATATTCAGCTTCAGTTGAGGAGAGAGAAATGGTTTCCTGCTTCTTAGACTTCCAACTAATAGGACTAGTACCCAACAACACCAAGTAACCACTGACTAACCTCCTAAAATTTGGGTAGGCAGCCCAGTCAGAGTCACATTACCCTTTAATGGTGCAATCAGGATCATTGGATAGAAAAATTCCAAGTGCAGGATCACCCTTAAGGTACCTAAGCAAGTGAAATGCAGCCCGTAGGTGGGGTTCTCTAGGATCTTGTATAAATTGGATCAAGTGTTGGACACCAAAGGCAATATCCAATCTAGTTTTTTGTGAGAAAGTTAAGCTTGCCTATCAGTTTTTTGTAGTATGTAGAATCTGAAAGAACATCTTCCTCTGTAGCCCTCAGTTTGACATTAGGATCAAGAGGAGAAGTAAGACTATTGCAATGGAGACAATCATACTCCTTTAAGAGATCTAGTGCAAATTTTCTCTCGGAGATAACAACCACATCTTCTTTGTAGAGGACCTCTAAACCAAGGAAGTAATGAAGCCTACCTAGGTCCTTAATCTTAAAATAGTCATGTAAGAAGGTCTTTAACTCAGTGATCTCTGTGGAACTTGTCCCAGTAATAATGACATCATCAATATATACAACAACAAATATTGTGGAAGAAGTTGATTTCTTGTAGAAGAGAGAATAATCATGCAAGGAATGAACATAACCCCTGGAATAAAGAGCAGTGGCCAATTTTGCATACCACTGTCTAGCATATTTCAGTTAGAGAGATTTTCTTAACTTGCAAACAACTCCTGGTGTGTCCACTACTAAACTAGGTGGTAACTGCATATATACCTATTCTTCCAAATCACCATGGGAGAAGGCATTGTTTACATCAAGCTGGAAGATGTCCCAGTATTTCTTAACTGTAGTGACTATAAGTGCTCTAATAGTTGTGATTTTTACAATAGGGGAATAGGTTTTTGTGTAATCAATTCCAGCCTGCTGGGTGTAACACTTTTCAACTAACCTAGCCTTGAACCTCTTTATGCTCCCATCAGCCCTATGTTTAACCTTGTAGACCCATCTACAACCTATGACTTTCTTTCCAGGAGGTAAAGAAACTAGGTCCCAAGTGTTATTTGCATGCAAAGCCCTAAACTCTAAAGACATAGCCTCTTGCCAGGCAGGGTACAAGGCTGCCTCTTTATAAGAAGAAGACTCACTATCATGACAAATATTTTGCACAAGTTGCTGACTATCTGGGAGTAATGAGGTAAGAGACACATAATTATGGTTGGAGAATAAAGCACTAAGAGACAGAGGTGAAGCAGTGGTAACATGAGGTTTTAAGTTTGGAATGGAACATACATAATCCTTCAGGTGGTCAGGAAATTTATGGTGTCTAGAGGACTTCTTTGTGGCTATAGGAGAGGCAATATAATGAGGAGTGGAAGAAGGAGATGCTGATGGAATGGAGGAAGGCAGAAGAGAAGGAAAACCAGATGAGTATGGAGGTATGTCAGATGATGAAGCATGGGCTGTAGACCTATCACGAAGGTGGTCATAAGTGGTAGAATGAGAGGGAAAATCATCAACAAAAGTAACAGATTAAAAAACAGATGGCAATATGCAAGGGTGCAGAATCAGGAGAAAGATCAAAACGAAATACATTTTCATGAAAAACTATATCTTTGGAAATATAGATTTTCTTGGTGAGTAGGCTAAGGACCTTGTACCCTTTTGTATCACAGGGGTAACCTACAAAGACATGGGGTGTTGCTCTTGGTTTAAATTTGATTCTGTGGGGTTTAGGAGTGGTAGAGAAACACAAACAACCAAAACTTTTAAGATGAGAATAAGTAGGCACTCTTTTGTACAAACATTCAAAAAGAGTTCTTTTTGTTAGATGAGTAGTAGGCAGTCTGTTGATAATGTAGGTGGTAGTTAATATGCATTCTCCCCAATACTTTAGGGGTAGTTTGGATTGAAACAAGAGTGCCCTGGCAGTCTCAAAGAGGTACTTGTGTTTCCTTTATACTATCCCATTCGGTTGAGGTGTATATGGGCATGTTTTCTGGTGAATAACCTTGGAGTGAAAGAAATGGGTTGATTTTGTACTAGTAAACTCTAGGCCATTATCTGACCTAATACATTTGATTTTGGTTTGAAACTAGGTATCAACCGTAGACACAAAGGCTTTAATAATCTGTAAAGCATTGCTTTTACAGCTCAAAAGATGTGTCCAGGAGCACCTATTGTAGTCATCCACTAAGGTAATTAAGTATTTGAAGTTATCATGGGTAGCTTCATGATAAGGTCCCCACAAGTCAACATGTAGGAGATAAATAACGTTACTAGTGGAGTTGGTTTTCTGAGGAAAGGGTAGCCTGGATTATATGGCCATGGGGCATATTGAACAACGAAAGAGTTATTTTGGTGAAAAATGGACTGGTATTGATGGTATACCCCTCATATTCATAAATGGCACATGCCCTAGCCTATTGTGCCATAGAAGATACGCATTGTTTGTATTAGGAAAAATAGAATGTGAAGCAGAACACTGAGTTTTATTGTAATTGGGAGTATTTACAAGTGAACATGAGTGAGTGTGTGAATCATTTACAAGTGAGTGAATGTGAGAGTGCAAGCTATTTACCTCACATGAAGTAGGAAACGCAGAGTAAAAAGTCAAAGGAATAGATTTTGAAGCGGAAACTGAATTCTTTAGATAATTAGAGCAGAGAAGGTATAATCCATCTTTGATCTTATCAATCTCCAGAGGCCTTTTCATTGAAGGGGCCTGTAGAATACATGAAGAATCAGTGAATGCAAACATGCTTTTAAGTTGTGATGTAAGGCAATGAATAAATATGAGATTATACTTGAAAGAAGGCACATAAAGAACTCTATGTAATACTATCTGAGATGCAAGTGTTACAGTTCCAATTTCTGTCACTTTCACTCGATAGCCATTTGGCAAGGTAATTAGAAAATGATATGAGAGTGTTTTAGTGTGAGATAAAAGGGATTTATTAAAGGTCATGTGGTTGAATGCTCCGGAATCTAAAATCTAAAGGTAAGCACTTGGTGTAAAACATCTACATGATAGCATCCCAAAATCAATAGACAAGAGCTGCAAAATTGGTAATTTCGTTGGCTAAATCCGGACTGGTGGTGTTCTCTCCTCCACCTCCAATGTGGAATTGTTGTAGCGGATTGAATAGTTGCCCATATTGTTCCTTAGACAAATTAAGAGGGGAATTCATGTTGTTGCTGTCACTACACCCTTGAGAAGTCGTCCCATCATCCTTGACTAGTATGGATTCAACTGGTGCACCGTGCACATTAGCTGAAATCTTCTTGCCCTTATTGAACCTAGGATTAAAGTTGTTGTTTTGAGGATAACCATGCAACTTAAAATACTTATCTTTGGTGTGTCCTGGATACTTGCAGTAGTCACAGAATGGATGAGGCCTGCTATTTGGATAATTCCCAGTTGAATAATTGGTTTTGAAGTTGTCATTTTTAGGTGCATTGGCATTCAAAGAAGTAGATTCCATTATAGGTGAGGTGATGTTCCTAGAAGTATTGACATTTATAGATGCAAATTCCATCACAAGCAAATTATTTGGTCTGACTTCCCTTTGTTTTTCCTCTTGGATCAATAGAGAAAATGCTTGAGCCACTGATGGTAATGGATTCATCATTAGATTACTACCCCGCACAATCGTATATACCTCATTCAGTTCCATTAAAAATTAAATCATGCGCATGTCCTGTTCAGCCTTGTGCATAGACTCTTTGGCTCCACAAGTGCATTGGCAGCTACACTGAGATTTGGCACTCAAATTATTTAGTTCTTCCCATAGTTTTTCATCTTTGTGTAATAGCCTGTGACGTCAAGGATTCCTTGAGACAAGTCGTTAATTTCCTTCTGAATTTGATTTAGTTTGGTTCCGTTGGTTTGATCATAGCGATCTTCTAACTCTGTCCACAATTCCGCCGCATCATTGGCATATTTTATGCTCTCTGCGATATCCTTAGCAAGGGAATTTAAGATCCACAAAGTGACCATGTCGTCACAACGCATCCACTGACGGAGAGATGGGGAATCTGATTTTGGACGTTTGCACTCACCATTGATGAAGCCTAACTTGTTCTTCACTAAAAGAGCACGTAGGACACTTCTTCTCCAAGATCGATAACCAATACCGTTGAAAGGAGTCGTCACCAACATTGCACTAGGATTATCTGACGGGTGCATGTAAAAAGGGCAATTCGGATCGATGTTGGGCTTAGAAATAGGGGCAGAAGCAGAAGTACTTGAGGCGATGCCGGAATCGTCATTTTGATCGAGAATAGTCATGTGAGAATCAATTTGGGAGAAGAAAAATAGTCAAAATTAGGGCAAAATCGAAAGTATGAAATTCACGAACCAACCGGAATCGAGAAGTAGGATTTGATTGAGCAAAACTCTGATACCATGTTAAGAAAAAGGCACAGAAAACCTCGAGCTCAGACTTGAGCTCCCATGGTGGAACCTAGAAGCTTCGAGAGAGAAGAGTCTAAGAGGAGACAATTTAGAAATAAACTGTGCAAATCTCATTATTTGTTCAATATGTGAGTACATATATACACACGTGGCTCAATACATATAACAAACTAACTAATTGCCAACTAATTGACAGCTAAGCTAATAACAGTAAATGAACTGAGAACATATGAGTACATATATACACACGTGGCTCAATACATATAACAAACTAACTAATTGTCAACTAATTGACAGCTAAGCTAATAACAGTAAATGAACTGAGAACATATAAATACATAGCTCAATAGTAGTAAATTCATATTACCGTTCTCACTAATAAAACTTTTACAGATTGTATTAAAATAATCATACATAAAAAAAAAAAAGGAAAAAGGAAAAGACAAACAAGAGAGAGAG